GATGATGTACTCGAGCCTAACTCTAGAAATGAGAAGTTATATTAGGGTTGGACCCTGCTATGTATTGTCGTGACTATTAGTCACGGGGTTTGGGAAATGTTTTATAACAAACACGGGCCTTTGAGCCGACTACTTGACTTTATATAAAGTAAGTATGTATTTTGAAAGGGGGGTAATCTGGGATTACGGCCTATACTATATTATCACCCTATTTGATGGTCTTGTGTGTGAAATACTTGTTGTATATCTATTAGATGCCTGCCACACCAGCACTTTATAGCCCTATAGAGTGCTGACCCCTTCGGGGGCGTCCCACCACCATTTTTCAGGTTGAGGCTAGAGCTTGCTTCCTGTGCTCGTTGCTCGAGAGATCATATAGGAGGGAAGACTTGGTTCGTGCTTCCTCCATTCTGTTTTTAAACATTAATAAACATGCTCATGGATATTTTACTGTAGAGCCTGCGTGCTCATGAATAGCCTTGTGTGGCCCTTTCGTTTTAGACAATGTTTTCCGCTGCGTTACGAATTACTTATTATGTTTGTTTATGGATGTGTATGTGTGAATGATATTCAAGACGCCTTGTATATTATGAATGTGTTGGACTGCGGTTGACTATTCATATTGTACGGCGGGTTGTTGACGTGTCCGGATAGGTCCGGGGCGTGACACTACCAGAAACTCGTCCTCCTTCATTTCCATTTGTCCATACACCTGCGCCAAGGATTCGATCTTGACCTGATTGTAAGTGTCTTCCATCGATGGAAATTCACGGACTGCACACAAGCACGTTGTGAAGATGACATGCGATCGGATGATGATGACTCCTGAATTATCCGGACGAAGGAAGTCTGCTACCTTGTTCCGCGCAAGAAGTTGCGCACCAGAAAAACTAAACCCTTGGCTTATGCTTGGACAGAAATAGGACTAATATCAAACCTAAACAAAAAAGAGACCATTTATTTGTGAACTGGGAAAAACACCCTCCACATAATCTCAAAACAAAACACCCATCTTCACTCCCCCAATAATCTACTCCGTACATCTTACGATCTGCTTCATCGCCTTCCAAACCAGGAAGTCGCTGCCCAAGCCATGGAATCGCCACCGCCCTAGCCATGGATTCGCCCCCCCTCCCCCCAAGACATGGCGTCGCCTCTGCTACAAAAGCCTTGCCGCCGCCATGTAGCTGTTGAGACCATTAGCATCCCCACCGATCCTCTTCAGTGCAGATTCCGCAGATCTCGCCACTTTCATCGTTTTCTTCTCCACTTCTTCTACCCGACGGTTCGCCGTCCTTCTCCTCAGATCGATGGCAATTCTCATTTTCTAATGTTAAAGTTGAAGGGTGGGGGCAGGAGTTTGGGCGCTGATGGGGGCAGCGATGGGGGAAGAGGTTGGAGACAACAGGTAGCTAGGGAAGAAGGTTAGGTGGGGGAAGTTGGGGTAGTGGCGGCAATTGGAGGGGGTGTGCGGTGGTTAGGCAGGATGAGGTGGTTGCAGTCTTCAAAGGATTATGGGCGGGGTATGATGATGGCCGGGGAAGGCAGTGGCCGCAAGGGCGGACCTAGCATTGACATTCAGCAGGGGCCAAAATTTAATTAAACAACTTATATTGTAAAAAATGTCAAAATGTAGTAAAATAGTACTAGTATGTCATTTAACAAAAAATATGTAGACATAAAATAAAATCGATTGCAAATAAATGCCAAAGATAAAATAAATATAACAAGAATAATCGTTCAAAAAAATATAACAGGAATAAGAATTTTTGTCGATTAGAAAAAAACACCTCAAGCCCATACCTATTGAACTAATTCTCACCTACCAATATCAATAAATTGAACAAATTGATTTTTCATGCTAATATTGAACCAATTTTTACACACTTGGGTATCCTGGTATCCCTTTGAAAAGTTAAAAAAAAAAAAGAGAGCTCTAAGTGGGCTTTGAACACCTGAGCTTCAGTTATATGTGAAGGTGGTGCAACTCTACTTCCTACTTACCAACACCGTATTTGTTTGCAACTTTGCTTTCTTTTGAATTATAACATTGCATAACAACAACATATATTATGTAATACATATATATATATATATATAATAGTAATTTTATTTTTTTCAGGTTGGGCCTAGGCCCTCCCTGGCCTAGAGCCAGATCCGCCCCTGAGTGGCCAGGGCTGCGGTGGTCGGCGGTGGCAGGGGATTTTGGGGGTTGGGTATGCTGAAGAGAGGATTGGGGTTTCGATTGGACATTGGGTAGGGAGGCTTGCCACTACGAGATGGAGTGAGGGCGGCAGCAGTGGTGGACGGTGGTGTTTTCCGGTGATAGCAGTGGGGTTGGGGGCTAGGGTAGGCTGTAAAGGGGGTGGGAGTACATTGGAAATGGGTCCGGTGTTGGCGTAGGAGAGGAGGGGTTGGGTTGGCATCTAGCGGTGGCGGCCGGCGGCCGGCGGGTGGCAGTGGCGGTTTATGGGTAATTGGATGAGTTGGTAACTGTAACTGAACGGGTTATGTAACTGTAACTATAATTGGGCGGGTCGGTAACTGTAATTGGGCGGGTCGGTAAATGTAATTGGACGGGTCGAGTAACTGTAACTGGACGGGTCGGGTAACTGTAACTGGACGGGTCGGGTAACTATAACTGGACGGGTCGGGTAACTGTAACTGGACGAGTCGGGTAACTGTAATTGGACGGGTCAGGTAATTGTAACTAGACGGGTCGAGTAACTATAACTGGATAATTCGGTAACTGTAACTGGACAAGTCGAGAAACTGTAACTGAACGATCGGGTTAGTGTAACGGGACTGGCGGATGTTGGTCATTGGATGGGTTGACGTTGGTAACTAGCTAGAATTTTTGGTCGCTAATGATTTTGGTCATTGACGGATTTTTTAATTTGTGGTCACAAATGATTTTTGATCACTGGCGGATTTTGGTCACTATAATGTTATTGGTCACTGTGGTGTTACTGTAGAACTAATGGGTGAGATTCTATTAATATAAGGGTATAATAGTCTCCTAACCCATTTTAGTCCCATTTTTGGAAATAGAAAAAAGGTCCCTTTTTTGTCCATAGCTCTTTTCTTAGTAATGTTGTAGAGATAACCCCAATTTTAATTTGAATTTTTTACAAGAATATTACTAAAATAAAACTTATTTACATAAATATGACTATTCATTACTACAACGTAGTATTGTGGTAACTTAAGTTCAAAACTTCAACATGAATTACTATGATTTCATTACTACTCTAGTAACTAGCAATATTTTTGTAAACCATCTTTATTTTGGTCATATCTATGTAATTATTTCTTTTAATTTCAGGGCCGTCTCCAGGAGTTTTGATGCCCCAGACAAAGAATGACTCATAAGATCAAATACTACCTCCGTCCTAGTGGACTTTGACAAGTGCAAAGTAGGTGGGGAATAAGAATAGTAAAAACTGTGTGGTTGAGATTTGTGCAGAGGAGAGAGAAATGTGTAGAACCACAAATTAGTTGCTTTAAAGGAAAGTGACAAATTTTTTTGGGACAACCAAAAAGGGAAAGTTGGCAAAGTCCAATGGGACGGAGGGAGTAATACTTAAAATTAATAACAGAATTAAATACGGAGTAATAATTAGAAAACCATATCACCATTTTTACTAATGTACTCCTTCACTTCAATGACTTCTTTAAAAAATAATAAAAAGAGTAATAGTTAATAAATTGAATGTAGAATAAGTCATTTACAAATTTGAGTTTATAATTTATATGCGGAATTGCACATTGTGGAAGAATTGAAGAAATCAAAATTTTAAATGTAAGGAATAATACGTAGTACAATGCAAAATCTCAAATTTGAAGGATGGTTTTGTAGGATAATAGGATAACCTAGTTGTTAACAGGGGCGGAGCCAGCAAAATGTGTGGGGGGGTCGGAATTTAATTATATACACTATCAAAATGATGGATAGTTATTATATAATACTTGAGTTAAATGTTTTATATGTAGCTTAAATAAATGGTAGTTTAATGAGCATTTTTCGGTTAATGTATGGATATATATATAATGTATCATAATGTTCACACAACTAATGACCGAATAAGGTGTTTTATTTTTAAATTTAAGAATATAATCAACGACACATATCAAATTTTGCTTATTTTAAGTTAAGATGGTGCTGATTTTTTTAGAAGTCATAACTTTTTACGCGTAATGAGTTACGGGACCCATAATATATCAAATCGAAGGTATTTCAAAGCTCTACATTCTTGAACTTTCTGCGGGATCGGCTGACCCCCTGACCCCCCTTGGCTCCGCCCCTGGTTGTTAATGTCTATCTCGTGGCAGAACTGCAGTCCACGAAAATCGGAACGACCTAATGGCTACTCAGCTACTCTCAATCTTATTTTCCTTCGCATACTACATATTTTTAAAACAATTATGCTTGGGTACACAACTTGTTCGAACCCTCCTCTCTTGGAAGCCTCCAGTCTACTCATCACGCACTCCATGTCCACTCTCACTTTCTATTACTCTCATTTTAAAGCTCAAATTTCTGAAAGGAAGCTCAAGGTATCACCTTTTTATGATGGATGAATCTTCCCAAAGTCATTATTATTGAGGTAATCTATTTCGATTTTTCCATATGCATTTTAGGTTTTTTTTTAAAAAAAAAAATTCCTGAATTTATGTATGTTATTATGTATGTTGTAACTTGTAACATTGAATAGTTGCATTTTTGTTTTATTGTAAAAGATTGTGGTGTTAGCTATTAGAATTTTAATCCTAATACTCTATTTCATTACATGCCCATAACATGTTTGTTGGAATGACTCAATGAAATTTTTGTTCATATCCAAGACATTTTCTCCCATTTTTGTTAGCTAGTTTTAATTTTTTTATACTAGTTTCACAATCCTTATAAGTAGCATCCTACTATGAACAAAATTAGGAGTATGACTGAAAATCTGAAATAACAACATTTTGCTTCTATTAGTTCTCAAAAGCGTTTTATTTATCAAGATATATTGATATATAGTAAGCTAGTAAGCTTACTAGAGGACTACTGTAGTAATAATGATTTGAGCATTGTTGGTTACTTTCACGCCAATGAGCGCTTTGATGATGCCAAACTTGGAACTGTCCCAAAGAATATTGTTGATCACATCCACCAATATTTTCCTCAGGCTGCTTTGCTTCTGTTAGATGCCAAGAAGCTCGAAGCTTTACTCAAGGGTAAAGATAGGAGTCCTATGATGCAGCTTTATACAAAAGACGCCTCCAGGACCTGGAAACTTGTAGGATCTGATGGAAAAAGTCAATTTACTTTCAAGGAGCCTATAACAAACACAGTTCTTTTGGATTGTATTTCATCAGAGAAATGGAAAGGAATAATAGATTTTGATGACCACCTCGATGATATTAGCAAGGACTGGCTCAATAAGGATCTCTTTAAATGATATTTATCTTCTTGGAAAGAGCATTGTATTTACATGAGGTTGGTTTATTTGCAATCTGTGCCCTTATTAAGAAACAATTTGGTATGATCGGCCAACTATAAATTTTGAATTGGATGTGGCCATGTGGGCTTTGTTTAGAATGGTGGCTGTTTTCTTAAATTGTGCCAATTGTTTTTTATCTTGAAACAAAAACAAAAGTAAGCTAGTAAGCTTCACACCAACACCCTGCCAAAACCGTATATCCAAACAGACCTAAAGATAAGCTAATTCTTGCCACCTAGTAATACAAGTATGTAGGAATGAAGAACAACAGAAGACACTCCTATTATCATCAGCAATGCATTGGACTGATTAGAGACTAAATTTCAACAATTACAAAGAAAATGAACTCATCTAGCACCTTTGTATTAGGTTGTATCATTTTTTGTTGCAAGTAAAATAGTACATGCCTTATGGAATCATACTTTTTTGCTAACTGCTTACCTAGTATTCTGCAAATATCACATTGGGGTTCTGATGATAAAAAAATGTCAGCATCTATCTTTAGTGAGTTGGATTCCTGATTCCTGATATCACAACTTGACATTATTGTTCTTAATTACCGTAGGATTCTGCAACTACAAAAGATAACATTTTGGTGCTCACAGATGATGCTATGGTACCATTTGATGTTGTTCAGAGTGCAATTGATATGGGGAAGAAGGGAGGGATTGAAAAGATGGATCCTATGATCATCACAGAGGCTTAATCTACGAGTAGA